GGCGCCATCTTGGAAACACCCCTCCAAGATGGCAGCCCCCTCTGCCCTCACAGAGCTGGGGGGACTGTGAGGCCCCCACATTTGTGGCAGCACCTCAGGCTCGGCTCGCTTATCGAAGAAAGGCATTTCATTCTTCGAGATCAGGCAGCCAGGACCTAAGGAGCTGTTTTTCCTCCATTGTGCAAGCATGACAAATCATTAATTTTTGATTGATTTGCTTAGAATTATGGGCGCCCCAGCATTCTTTCCGCCGCTGAACAGCTGTATAACAAATGAATATATCAGTGTGCACAAAAGATTGGAGATCTAAGAGAAGCAATTACATTGGCCACCCTCCCCCACCCTCACCCCTTCCCGGGCAATGAAGGGAGGAAATTTTTACCAGAAATTCCTCAAGTGGCTTAAAAAAAAAAAAAAAAAAAAAAAAAAAGCCATTTTATAATTGAATTAAATCTTTATCTCTTCATCTTTTGCAGCAGGTTTTTTCCAAACCGCACACCGGTTCCCCACCTGCTTGGGTTCTATCCATCCAGGAGGAATCTTTAATAATGAAATTTCAACTTGTGTGAATTAAAACCAAAATGAAAAAAAGGGAAAAAAGAAAAGAGCAAATTCTACCCCTCCTTTTTGCTTTTTTTTTTTTTTTTTTTTTTTTTTTTTTTTTTTTTGGTCGCTGCTATTTCTTTAAGATTTTGGAACCGTACCAGTGCACTAAATGTGACCTCCATAACTTTTAAATTAAGAATTTATGCTGGCTTGAAATTTATGAAATATTTCAGCATGAAAGAAAGCCTTTTTCCCTCAGGAAAATTGAGCAATAAATCACAGCACTGTGGATTTACTGCCCTAGAGCCAGCGAGAGATAGGATTTTTTTTTTTTTTTTGCTTCATTCTGAAAAAAAAAAAATGTAATCATATAAGACAGCTTAGCTGCTATCCTCCCACTCTCTAGAATTTTTAATTTCAGCTGTTTCTGCTTGGATTTATTTCCAATATTCCTGCTCGGCTTTTCAATTTCCTCAGTTATTAAATTTTAATTCAGTGCATTAGCATTTAAATTAAAAAAGGGTTTATTTTATCGAAATCGTTGGCCAGCCCCCATCCTGGAGCACACGAATTGCCTGTTTCTGCCATTTGCACAAAATGTGAAATGCAGCTAATGTCTTACAACTTACATTTGCACAAATTTAGAAATAAAATTTCTGGGTTTGGAATAATATTTTCTTTCCAAGAAAACCCTTAATAAGAGAATGGAAAAGAACAACTTCACATTCATTTGGGAGGGAAGGGGAGGGTCAGATAAAACCCGAAATAGCCTTGCCCAGGTCCTGAGGGGAAGCTGGTGCATAAGGAATGGGTGGGGCTGGGAAGGGGGGACAGGCACCCTTATGTGGGCTGGAGGGCTTGCATACACGTTTACCCCAGCTTCATGAGAGTGGGAAGGAGGATCTCCCTGGGGTCCTCCTTATTTTGTTGGCCAATAGAGGGGACTGGTTACGGTTGGGTCTGCTCCACATGGAATGAGGGAGATGGAAGGGACAGGGGAGATGATCTGATTTAACCTTCTTTCCCCATCCCCATTTTTTACCTATGGAGAACCTCAGGTCCAGAGAAAAGAAACAGCTTGTCTAAGGTTCAAAATGAGACTCAGAGCCAGGGCAACAAGCTACATCCTTTAGGAGCACGTAGTCCAGTGGCAGGAGATGATGGAGCAATAGTAGCTGCAGTGGGATTTTCCATTACTTTAGTGATTACTACGTATGCCAGGGCTGCTTGACTGGCGTTATTGTCATTCTGACCGGACCATTGGAGAAGGCCTTCAGGCTGTGGTGGTGTGGTGGCCACTAATGAGATGCCCTCTTGCAACTTAGGATTCGGGGAAGGCTTTTAGGCAGAAGACCCATGGTCCAATCCAGGCTGGCTCTGTGACTCCTTCATCTTATACATATCATTCTGGTTTTCCGTGCTTCCGTTTCCTAGCCCCAGTAAATAATGGCCTCTATAACTATAGGGTTGTCAATGATTATTTTAATTATTATGGCCAAGCACTCACTAAGTACTTCTACATGCTATTACATGTTTTACCTTATTTTTCTTGAGTCCCAAGCCAGTCCCGTGAGGTAGGTCCTGTGATTAGCATCTTGCCATTTTGCAGACGAAGAAATTGAGGCCTTGGGAATATATCACAGAGCTAGAAAACAGCAAAACCAGGACTTGAACTCAGACCATCTGACTCTAAACGCTGTGCTCTTAAGCTTCAGCTCACATTGAGAATCAGGTCAGATTACACAGGGTACTGACGAGTTTGTCATTTAGATGGAATCATATGAAATTGCTGCTGTTAGAACATTTTGGCCTTGGCAATGTCAGAGGTTCAGCTTACCCCACATGGAAGGAATGGCTGTGATGTATTTGTAAGGACACAGATCACACTGGCGTGGCGTAGGGGGGTCTCATCCTGGGAGTTGGTGCTCCCAACACAGTGGGCTTCGGCTCTGTCGTCATGGTGTAGCTGGACTCGGCCGGGCCCACATGCTGTGACTGCCATGTGCTGTGATACTGACACATGTGTCTTGGACATCTCCCACTGAATCCATTGTCCATCCATATCCCAATGAAGCAACTCTCATCTGCCACCATCTGAATATCCCACACCCTGCCCAGGGAGATCTCCTTCTTCTAGTTGCCCCAGCACCACCACCTGAGTCTCTGTGAAAGTATTTGACAACTCTTTGAATATTTTTTAGCACTTTCTCTTTGTTTTACGTAAATGGGTGGAAAACAGAAATGCGTGCAGCTACCAGTAACACGAAGCTGAAGTGTCGTTCACCCAATAAAAGAGAAACAAAGGTGGAGGTTATTAGGCGTGCTGAAAACAGAGACTCTTTTCCCACACTGTGTCATGGGGTTTGTTGCACTGGAGCTGGTCAACTCTGTGTGAAATTGTGAAGGAAAAGGACAAAAATGACAACTTTAAAAGTGTGTGTGAAATGCAAAAATAGACGCACAGAATTAAGTCTGAAAGGCGAGAGATCCATTTGGGAGTTGACCATTTTCTTAAGCTCTCTGGGGCAGAATTTCCACCCATACCACTTCTGCTGCTTATGATACAAACATTAAAACAACTTCAGCATGTTTGCCTCGCATACAAGTTTTGAGGAATGCAAGATGTCGGAAAGAGGCTGTAATTGATCTGTTCTTCTGCTCCCAGTGAAATGATATGCAAACCATTTTCTGCTTTCTTGTTTCTTCCATTGAAATAATGCATTGGCAGCTCGTTAATTTCTCCCTTCCAGACCTCACATTTCTCCTTCCCTATTAGTCCTTAACCTTTCCCTTTCCCTTGTGTGGGAAATAGGGGCTGTTTGACGTCACCCCATTTCCCAGTTGACTCTCCTGAATGTTGGTGGGAAGTAAAATGTTCCAGAATTGAGGAAGGTGGACTTTGGGGTGACCCAGACCTGAGCTTATAGCTGTGGGACTTTCGATACATAACTTAAATTCTTTCACCTTTTGTGTTCCTGCCTGTAAAATGGGGATATTATAGGGTGGAAGGGAGGGCCTATGGTGAAGATTAAATGAGAGAAGGCATGAATGTCCATATCCTAGCGCCCAATGGGAAGCTCTCCATGGGGAGCTAGTGTGGATGCCCACTGGGACCAGACAGGGGCTGGGTTATTATAAGGTAAGAGGGAGGGGTAGAGACTGTGGAAAAGCAAGTGTGTCAGCTCTAGCTGCCTGTCACCATGTAGGACTGGGTATCACAGGGTTATCCAGGTTAATAAGAGAAGGTGGCGATCTGGCCTTTTTTCAGTGCAATTCTCGTATTTTTATATATTGACAATTTGTTTGAATCGAAGTCTGCCATCTGATGTTGCCAGTTTGCAGCTTTTCGTAAGCACTTATCAAAAGGTAGCTACTGGTGCTTTATTTAGATCCTCAGTCCTTTATCCGCAATCTTGAAATTCAAAAAAAACTTGAAAAAGTTTTTGTAACTGATGAGGCAGCAGAACTTGACCTGAGGGGAGAAAAGGCTACGGTTGTGATTGTTGTCTCGTTGGCATTTATCCTCTGTAGGGTTACCTATACGTATGCTTTACAACAGAAATATCAATGTGCTTGATTAGCAGGGGCTCTGCCAGGGTTGTTTCAAAATATAAAACACAGGCAGTACATTACCTTTCTAAAATGGGAAAAATTCTGAATTTGGAAACACATATGCACCTGAATTTCAGACCTGTATTATCCTGTGATTCTTATTAGAGGTGTTTTGGCAAAGCTCGGGAATACATCTTCAGCTGGCGGGGGTGGAGAATCTAGGCATTGTTCCCAGGTCTGCAACCTCCATCAGCCTCTCCATTGAGGTCCCCCTGAGCACTGGTCTAGGAGTTGGGACCCCCTGGTGTTTGTTTTCACGAGACTTCAGGCACCTCCCTCTGCACCCAAGGCCTCAGTCTCTGCATCTGAACCAGAATTTTATGATTTCCGAAAATTTCATTTGGTCAGCTTTATCTCCCCCTCCCCCTACACCCAAATAAAAGAGATTAAGAACCGGCACTCCCTTGCCTTCTCCTGCTCATAGGGTTGGAGGAAAGAATACTTTAACATAATAGGATTTTTTTCCCTCTGGTTGTAGGAATAAATCTACAGCTGCTGTTTTATTGGAAATCCCAGCTGAAAATAAAAATGGTGCAATTCAATCTCAGATTTAGCTGGTTACTTACTTTTCACTGAGTCCCCAGGGCTGTGCAGTTTGCTGAGTTTGTGTTGGCAGTGGGTGCTCAGTGAGGCTTAAAGGGCCAAGCAAATGGGGTTGTGGGAATGTGTCCTGACTCCCTCTTACCACTAGGTGCAAGTTTTTCCAGCCTAGAGGAGTGGAGTGGGGCTTATGGCCAGCTCATCCCACTTCTGGTATTCAGTGAGAGCTTGGTGGGGTGGCATTGGGTTGATTCTGTGTCTTCCACCTTGGCTGATGTAAGTGTTTTGGGTTTCTTTTGCAGGCTGACGGAGCCAGTGCAGCTGGAAGAAAAAGCACTGCGAGCAGGTACACCCCCTGTCCCTGCCCCCCGCTTGTCCACCCCTCCACTCAGATCTTCATGACAAACAGCTGCCACTCCCTGGTCCTCACCTACCCCCTGAAAGGATGGATAGTCCAGGCCAGCCCTCCTTCATTAAGAGTATCCAGACTCCCCCAGAGAATGTGAGGTCATGGAAAGCATTTTCCATGTGGGTACCTGGGGCCAGAATCCAAGGATGGTTCATTCCTGAACCAGCCATTGGCTGCTCAAGTTGAGAACTTAAGAATGAAGCATAAGACTAGGCAGAAAGACCTGGGCTGGAATCACACCTGGGCTGCTGCATGGCCAACTCCTGGGCAGCCAGTCCCATCCTCGTCTGGAATTCATTGGCCTATGTGCAAGTGTCGTGTGCTCATGTCTCTGGCCAGTCACGCCAAAGCAGGGGATGGGATACTCTGACTAGTTGGGGGTGGGAGGGTCTGTCCTCACCCTCAAGGATAGCTGGAGAGGGGAGAGGGGTGGTGCCCAGAGGAGAACTGGACTGTTTTTAGCAAAGAAGGGAGGAAGCGATACCAGATAGGTCCAAGCTGTTTACAGCATGACAGGTAGCACAGGTGGGCACTCAGTGATGGCAGCACCCAGGCTGCAGCTGCTGTTGCTGCTGTTCTGTTGGGTAGAGCAAGGCTGGAATGGCCATATGACCTTTATTTGGGGCTTTGAAGGCAGAAAGAAGGGAAGGGACAGATGAGAGATGGCTCCCCAGAGCACATACATGAAGTTTAGAATCGATCCTAGGGTCACCTGTTAGAGCTGAGGGTCAGACTGTGAATGCCAAGCAGTCTGACCCTCAGTTCCGGGAGCCTACGGAACACTAGTTCTTTAAAATGTTAATGGAGTTTTTTTGTGAGAAAGAAAGGGTTCTTTCTGTAGCCAAATAAGTTCAGAGGACAGTGGGTTAAACAGAATTAAAAAGGTTTATTTGCTGTGGGACTTTCCAAATTTTTCAATATGGTAATGTGCGTGCTTGAGAAGAGAGAGACAGAGAGAGAATCATGTTTCTCAGACTTCTTAACCATGGGACCCTTTTATTGAAGTTCATTGCATTGAGCAAGTGTTCCTTGGAATGTACTTTGAGAAACCATGGAGAGATACTGACATTTTCTGAGCAGGAGAGTAATGTGCTGGGCTTGGTGTTTCAGGAATACCACCCTGGCGTCCATTTGTTGGGTGGATTGGAGGCTAGCGGAACGGAGGCCATGATACCAGGCCTGAGGTCCATGGAATCCGGAGACCCGTGTTGTGTGGCAAATATTTTATGCTTTGCAGGCCGTATGATCTCTGTGGCAGTTTCTCAGCTCTGCCAGTATAATGCTGAAGTAGCCATGGTGATACATAAATATGCCCATAAATGGCTACAGTTTGTCAACCCCCAGTCTACACTGACTCCTGCCTGAGAGCCTCTGCAACTGCTGTTCCTTGTGCCTGGAATGTTCTTTCTCTGATGAGTGCCCTTTCATCTTTCTGATCGGAGTCAGTTCTACCCTCAGGGAAGCTTTCCCTGACCCCCTGTACCAAGGGACCTGTGCCCCAGTCTGTGGTGTGTGGCCTTCATAGCTCTTTAATTATTTAGTTTTCGTTATTCGTGATTTCATTCCCTTCCCTGTGTTCCTTTTTTTCTGTCTCTCTGAGAGTGCCAGCTCCATAGGCAGGGAACACGTCTGTCTTATTCGCTGCCGTGGCCTGGCCCCTAGCAGGCTCTCAGTATGTGTTTATGGGATGGGGATGCTAGATGAGATGGAAGAAGACGTGGGAGTGACGTAGGGACACCGAGTGTGGAGAGGAGCAGGTAGAGCTCAGACAGAGACGGTGCACTTGGGCCTGTGGTCATGGAGGGGTGGCGCATGCAGCCAGCAGCTGCCCAGTGTTTTGTGTTTCTCTCCTGGGCCCCTAGGAGTGGGATTTGTGTGTGAACAGTGTAGGAGGCTGTGGCCTGTGGGGCCGTGGCAGTCCTCATCCTGGTGGCTGGAAGTGTTTCTCGGATCGGTATGTCAGGACTGGAAAGGGCCTTGAGTTGGTGTAGACCACCGTCTCATTGTGCAGAGGGGAGATTGAGGCCTTCGGGAGGAAGGACCCTGCTCAGGGGCATATGATATGTCCATGGCCGTGTTGGGCCTTGAACCTGTCAAAGCTGGTGCCTTCTCCATTCGTCAGTGCTGCGCCCAAGTGAGGGTCTAGACAGCCTCTCCCATGTCCCTCTCACTTTCACTAAGCACCTACTCTGGTAGTACCGTGTGCTAGGAACTCAGGTGGGTTAGATGCTGATTTATCCACACGAGTAGACGTTCGAGTGTCTCCTGCATGGCAGGCGCTTTATTCAAAGCACTGGGTGAATGAAGAGACAAAGCACCACCCACCCCTCGTCAGTCTGGTGGGCATGTGGTTTGCCCTCACTTTCTAATGCATGGCTCTCCCTTACACGATCATCTCTGCCTGGTGAATATAACCAGAGAAGAACAGGCGGGTTTTCCCATGGTGGCTGCCTGAAGGTCTGTGTTGAGGATTATCCCCGAGGGCTATCGTCAGTGGAAGAATGCTGAGATTGATTAGAGATGCCTGCCCAGTCAGAGGATGGGGAGAGTAGCATGTGACACACGGATTTGCTCTTCCTGCTGTCTGGGCTTTCCATCACACATACTCAGTAATTGAGCCTGTGCTTCTACCATGGCACAGGAATGTATACCAGGAAGGGCCACCCAAACCTGGGGTCGCGTATGGCTTAAGGTGTAAAAACAAGGCTTTCTAATAGCAATGACTACCATTTGGTCAACAGTTCCTTGTCAGGCTCTGAGCTAAGTGATTGATGTATATTAATTTATTAATTTGTCTTTTTTTTGAGACAGGGTCTCATTCTGTTGCTCAGGCTGAAGTGCAGTGGTGCAGTCTCTGCTCACTGCATCCTGTACCTCTTGGGCCGAAGCAATCCTTCCATCTCAGCCTCCCAAGTAGCTGGGACTACAGGCAGGCAGCACCACCCCTGGCAAATTTTGGCATTTCTTTTGTAGAGCTGGGGTTTCACCATGTTACCCAGGCTGGTCTCATACTCCTGAGCTCAAGTGATCCACCCATCTCAGCCTGCCAAAGTGCTGGCTTTACAGATGTAAGCCACCATGCCCAGCCTTTATTTAGTTCTATGTAATCTTTTCTCATGTAAGAGGTACTCTTACTATTCCCACTTAACAGACAAGGAAGCTGAGGCACGGAGAGGTTTACAGGCCAAGTCTGCCTGGGTGGAGGTAGGCAGTAGAGCCAGGATATCTACCTGAGTCTTCTGTGACACGTGCAGTTACCCCCACGCCCTCCTGCTTCTCGGTGGGAAGGGACCAGTTAACACGCGTGTTACGGGAGCCTGCTCGGGGCTGGGGACTGTGCTGTAGGCTGGGGGGCCTCTCAAGAAGGTGGGATTCTGGAGGAGCTCACAGGCAAGTTTATATTGATTCCGTGATGAAAACTAATTCTTTGAAAGACCAATACACTGTTACTTACATAGGGACTTGATGTTCAGTCTGAGAAGCGAGTTGTATGTTAAACGTCAAGAGAACATTGTTGGGCTGGGCGCAGTGGCTCACACCTATAATCCCAGCACTTTGGGAGGTCGAGGCGGGTAGATCACTTGAGAGGTCAGGAGTTTGAGACCAGCCTGGCCAATGTGGCAAAATCCCGTCTCAACTAAAAACAAATACAAAAATTAGCCAGACATGGTGGTGTGTGCCTGTAATCCTTGCTACTCCGGAGGGTGAGGCAGAAGAATCACTTGAACCCAGGAGGTGGAGGTTGCAGTGAGCCGAGATCATGGCACTGCATTCCAGCCTAGGCAACAGAGTGAGACTGTCTCAAAAAGAAAATAAAAAAGAGAGAACATTGTCGGTGTGGTGGCCTTAGCTGATACCCCTGGTGACCTGACCATGGCCAGGCAGGATTTAGATGGGTTGGACACTTTGTAGAACATCAGAGCTCATGTGATCCCTGCTTCAGATGGAGAAATGAAGGCGCTGAGGTTCCCCAAAGTCAGAATTAGGCTAGCCAATGACCTTGAAGGACCCCCAGCCCTCTAACGTGGGCCCTCACCCCCAGCTCTGCTATGGCACAGTCTGCTACCATGCCAGGTTCCACTTTCATCCCAGCGCCTTCCTCTTGGCCTGGAACACATAATTCTATTTCTCCAGAGGTCCTCTGGCTAACCCCCAAAATCAACAGCACGGGCTGCTAAGGAATTAGTGTTAAATTGAGGGGGACAAGGAGAGGTGGTGTTTCTGATCTTAAGAAACAACCGAATGTGGTTTGGTTTACTTCCTTGTAACCCAGCCTGGGTCGATTTTACAAGACCAATGATCCCAGCATTTGAGGTTAATGTCCACCTGGTGTGCAGGTTACAACTCACGTAGCACAACTCCAGCCAAACCCCACTTATTCTAAGGGTCGGGTGTCGGGGGAGGGGAGCTGTGGGGATTTAACTTTGGAAAATTCTGAAGGAAGTGCAGTTTGTATAATTAAGTAAATATAGTTACAGACTGGGCATAATAAAGAATTACATATTTTTTTCCTTTTGTCAGCTGCAGATTTTCAGAGCTGGAAGGACTGTAAAAAATCTAATCCAACCCTTTGATTTTGGAGATAAGGAAACCTGGGCTGCAAGAGGTTAAGGGACTCATTATTTTGCTGTAGGTCCTAGTTGCCCTACAAGTGAACAGGATCTTGCAGACTGGAAAGGAGAATATGAAAAAAATCAAATCTTCTCCATTCATTCCACAAATATTTACTGAGTGCCTACTGAGTGCTTGGCACTGACCTGGGTGCTGGAGACACAGCAGTGAGTGAAACAGACAGAAATCCCTGCCCTTGTAGAGCTGATGTTGTAGAGGGAGTGGAGCAGCTGTAATCAATATGTAAAATAGATGCTTGTTAGGTAGTAACAGGTGTGGTGAGGGGAAGCAGAGGAGGTCGGGAGAGTGTGAGACAGTGTTGCCGC